GTGGTTACGTTTGTACAAGTACCATATATGGATGCTTTCTGATCAGCAACAGTTCGGACATGAGACTTCTGATCATTGGTTAAAAGATATAATGTTATATCGAGAACTGGTTAAACCTCTTCAAAATTCAAAAGTACTATGGTATGTATAATCACAGCAAAAGTTATTATATTGCCAAATCCAACCGATATTATCTCGAATTAGTATTCTAATCATATAAATCTAATATTTTTGTATAATTCCGATTTTAATGACGATAATGAACTATTTTTACAATCCAGTCGATAATATGATACAGTTCCTTCTTCAATTCCTTGCTAGCTCCTTCAACCTTATCAAGGGTTCTCAACTTTTTTCCATGTCTCCTTCAACCTTGTCATAATTTGATTAATTTCTATCATGGGTTTTGTGCATGACTTGCCACCTCTCGAAGTCGATGGACTCCGATCCTATTTCGCCACGTGTCACCAAATATTAAACAAGGGATCATCTATAATTCATTATCGTTTTCTTCAATTTTACATAGTATAAACTTTTGATCAAAACTTTATCAAAGTAAAGCTTTTTTACAACAACAAAGCAAAAGACATTTGTCAATCGTGATCTCTTTTTCGTTCATGAATTAGCATTCAAGAAATATATAACTAACACTTTATAGATACTAAACTTGGTATGTGTTTGAATCCAAACGAGTTCTGATATTACTAGCTAGTAGTTGATGCAAGTGCATATTATGTACGTATTGAAGAGATTGCACAAAGTTCAAATTCATGGGTTGATTCAGGTTGAAAGTTTGACAAAATTATATGATAAGCTTGATAAGACTAATAATTTCCTTTGATCTTATACATTTTTCTAGTCTACTTGAGATCGAGCCAACAAGCACCCACGAAAAAGAAGCAAAAATTGGTTATGATTTTGAGTTTGTTGACTGATTTTTTAATTGAATCATCTATAAAATAAAATATAAAAAGTATATGACACGGTAAGTGAATTTATATAATGTTTTATCTTAAAGTTCCTGCAATAATTGGATAATTACGGCCGACTAGAGTAATTACATGATGATACCAAAGTCGTTGGCCAAAAGCTCATGTGTCTCAATTCTAATAACTCATATACTAATACTTAATTGGTGCACAAAGATACACTAGTTCAGTACAATTTTCAAATACGGTAGAATTCATTTCACAAGATGCAATTATTAGGACCACTTTTTTTTGTGAGAAGAACCACTTAATTATTAGTTCTTCATATAATATATAGAACGAAGTCAAATCAAATACAATAATTTTGCCTAGTTTCAGGCTAACACTTTTTTTACTTCTTTCGTATCAATCCAATTCAACACCAAATAAGGATGGACATTTGATTCGGTAAAACCAATCTAATTTACACCAAATCGTACCGCACTGCACCAAATAAGATAGTAATCGATTCAATATTCAAAAAACATAAAATGAAACTGTTTCGGAGGTCGTGTCCATACGACCAAAACCGAGGTCCGCTTTTTCTAAACCATTAAATTAAATTGATTCCCAAAGCGCAACCCATATTATGTCCATGGATGGTGGTGTGTGCAAATGGCTATCGGGAACTTGACCTCCATTTCCGGCCAATTGGCCGAGCTATATATACCTCTACCCACTCACGTACTGAAATTAAAGCCCAGTGAAGTCCACTCCAATTAGGGATCAGATGGAGCCAATAAAGAGCCACCAGTCCACCCACAAAGCAATCCCACTCCAAGAGCTACCACCCACTAATTAAGGAATACTATACCACATCAAAACATTCCTATAATACTTCTTTACTTTTCCGTACTATGATCTCTTACCAAAATTATGTCAAAGTAAGGTTTCCTTAATTATATTATGCGTGTGTATGGATATGAGTTGGAGTTGGACAGACGTAACAACATGTCAACAACAGTTCTCAATCTCTTTTCCTTACGATCGTGTTCCAATCAAATTTTGCCAAATATATAGTTAGAAAGTCTGTGCATAAGAAAGCACGTTAAAAGATGAAATTTTGCTTGATGTGGATTAGCATGCAAAGAAATATATAGTTGGTTTGGTTCCACCATTCTATATATGCTAAACTCGATATTACTTTGTGTTAGTGTTGTGGTATATGATATATGATTGAACATCTTCCAATAACTCGAGTTATTGGAATCAACTGGTTCTTGGCATGGTATCAGAGCCTTCTGTGACCAAGAGGTATTGTGTTCGATTCCCGGTGACCCCCATTTGTTAAGCACATGGTATTCTTGTCTTCAGACCTGTGCAAACTTCAAGCCCTTGTGATTGGCTTTCGTTTGAGGGGGCGTGTTAGTGTTGTGGTATATGATCCAAGATTGAACATCTTCCAATAACTCGAGTTATTGGGATCAACTGGTTCTTGACACTTTGCTTCATAGTATCTATGATGATGATGTCTTTTGTGGGCATATTGGTGGGACTATTTCATCTTAGTGTATGTCTGCCTCAACGTCTATACAAAAGATTGTATATGGAAAATATTGAAATTGTCCTTTCCAGTAGATATTTATAGTGTTTCTAGTCGATATAAGTGCATCGTACATATTGTAAGAAAGTGGTTAAATATGGACCTCTCCCAACAGCTCGAGGTAATAGGGTTTCTAACGCGATTAAATTCGAGCCAACAAGCACTAACGGAAAATAAGTTGCAATTGGACATAACTTTGATTCGCTTGCTGATTTTTTAAACCTCCTACAATACGAATATAAATTTCTATTTTAAACCTCCTGCAATAATTCGAATTGTTGAGACCGAATGATTTAATTATGTGATGATATATATCAAAATCGGTCACCAAAAACTCGTTTATGTATCTTAATCCTAGTAACCCTTATACTAATTAGTACTTAATTGATGCACATAGTTCACTACTATTTTCAAACACAATAATATATATATACAAATAAATAATTATTAGGACCAACTAATAATGAGTCACTGACTCACTTCCATAGTGTCCAAAACCAATATGGTGCACAAAGATTTGTATATATATACCTCTACCCACCCTCGATATTGAAATGGAACATACATAGGCCACAAATCAAACTCCATTGTAGTCTATATCCAAATTACAACGATCGATCTCTACCCAATGGATCAGATGGAGCCAAGTGCCACCACCCACAAAATCCCTCACAATCACAATCACAACCACAACAAGACATTCCTCATACTCCTCAACTGCCTCCTCCTCGCCGTCGGCCAGGTCGGCGGCCCCATCCTCTCCCGGATGTACTTCCTCCACGGCGGCACCAGAAAGTGGCTGGCCGCATGGAGCGTCAACTCCGGCTTCCCCATCCTCCTCCTCCCCATCGCCATCTCCCACTACACCAACACCACCACGCGCCGCCGCAACAACCCTTTCGTCCTCACCACGTGGCTCTTCTGCTCCAGCGCCGTCGTCGGCATCCTCTTCGGCGCCACCAACTACTTCTACTCCTTCGGCGCCTCCTACCTCCCCGTCTCCGTCAACTCCTTAGTCAGCTCCTCCCAGCTCGCCTTCACCGCCCTCTTCGCCTACCTCATCGTCAAGCAAAACTTCACCCACTACTCCATCAACGCCGTCGTCCTCATGACGTTCGGCTCCGTCATCCTCGGGGCCCACATGGACGGAGACATCCCCGAGGGAGAGACCAAGACCAAGTACGTCCTCGGGTTCGTCATGACGATCGCGGCGGCCGCGTTCCACGGCTTTTCCATCACGGCGTTAGAGTTCGCCCAACGGAAGTCCGGAGTCGCCGTCACGTTCGACGTGGCCATGCACGTGCAGTTCGTGGTGTCGCTTTTCGCCACCATCTTCTGCACCGTCCCCATGGTTGTGAACAGGGACTTCGAGGCTTTGTCGGGAGAAGCGGCCGAGTTTGGTCTCGGGGAGACCAAGTACTACGTTGTCGTATTCGGAGCGGTGATAGCTTTGCAGGTTATGGTGATAGGGAGCTTGGGTTTGTTGCTGTGCTCTTCGTCGCTGTTTACGGGGCTGGTCACGTCGCTTCTGGTCCCGGTTCAGCAGGTTTTTGCTGTGATTTTCTTGAGAGAAGGGTTTAATGCGGAGAAGGCGTTGGCTTTGGCTCTGTGCCTGTGGGGTTTTGCTTCTCACTTGTATGGAGGGTATAAAGCGAGCTTGAAGAAGAAGAAGAAAAACGACGACGTAGAAGATTATGGTGATGATGAGCAAGGAGCAAAGAGTAGTGGTGATCATGCTTAGAAATGGACTTTTAAGTTTTAAGAGTAACAAGTGTTTTAAGGTGAAAAGTTGTGAGAGCTCGTTTAGTTCGGGAGAGGCTATAAATAACTCCATCTCTCTTTTTTAGTGGCGGAATAAAAAAAATCTCAGCTCGTGTAGCTCAAGAGAGATTATAATCCGATCACTTTCCTTCCAATAAAGGAGCCAGGAGCTTGAACGGAGATGATCAAAACTAACCTGCAAACTAATCTATTTTATAAATTTACTGCAAGTTTTTACTTGTATTTTAAACTACATTCAAAATGGTCTCATTTCAAAAGTTGACTTGAGAGAGCACTACAAACCCTCTGAGACATGATTTTTCATCTCGAAAAGGTATTTGTTGTTACGAAAACTATTTTTTCACTGTTCCACCAAATTTGTGACAATCTGCAATAGATAGTTCAAATCCGTCGTCGAAATCCCGCATTTAGCAGAGAAAAAATTCTTCTCGTCAAACTTTGAATCGCTGAAAATCATATTCTTTGTAGTAATCAGCTCGTCTACTTTAGAAGAGGCTATAATCCAATATCTTTCGTTCAGTGATGAAACCATAAATTTGAGCGTGTGTAACAAAAAGAGAGGTTATATTCCAATGTCTTTCATATTTGATTTAATTTGACTTGACAATGTAATATGAGAAATGGACTAGGATAATAATTTAATAACAGTATAATTAGGATACATTGAGAGCGAGAAAATAATTGTATAGAGTTATTGAATAATTATTGTTTACTTAAAAGGCCTCTTAAGTGTACTTTCTTGAATGAATTGGGCCGACTTCTGCTACTAGTGTGAAGTTTGGGCTTTCCTCCAAAAATAGGCCCTACTTCTTCAAGCCCAGAGTCCACTTCATAGCGTCATACATGGAGACTTGACTGACTGACTGACTATCAGTTTCACAATGACAAGGACAAGAAAACCGGCCGGCCTTGGCTGCAACTTTTTCCAAGCAAACTCAAACATACTCAAAATCATCCCACCTCGCTTGGGAACTATTTTAGAAGGCAGAGGTCAGCCACCTCCTGATCATCGTGGAACGGCGGAATAAAAGATGATGTCGCGACGCGTACCTTGTCCTTCACTATTCGTTTGCAAGCAGAGTTGTGGATCAACACCGGCTCTGCTGCCAGCCCACACCAACTGACCAACATCACTACCGACGGCAAGCAGCCTATTAGAAGATCGGCAGCTGACTATATAAAAAAGCAGATCCTCTGCTCGCTCGCTCGCTCTTATTCCGGGGGCAGAATTTAGATCAGAAAGGGAACACACTGAAAAACACAGAGACTTTGCTTTCCTTTTTCTTCCCTGGGCTGGGGCTTGGAGTGGAGGTGGAGCAGCAGAAGCTCATCAGCTGAAAAGGACGGATCATTAATAAAGACCAGACCAGACCAGACCAGGTCAGTTTTCTCTCAATTAATCTCCCCCCCAATCATAATCAATTTCTCATCGTCAGACGCACACATCCCCTCTCCACATCAATAACATTCCCTCTTTCCACAAACAAGCAAAACCATAACTGAAACGTCTTTTTCTCAAACATTCATAACCATAACCAAGCTGTGCAGATCCTACTGGATGGAACCCTGCATCAAAAAAGGAAATTAGAACCACAAAAAATAGAAACGAACCCAGAAGGGCAAAAAACAACTCGTCGGCGGGGTGCCGCGCCGCCGCTCTCCTCTGCGTCCTCCCTTTCTTGAGATCGATCGGCCCCCTCGCACCCAAAGGAAGATAAAATTAAAACCAAATCATAAGTCAGAATACACTAGGCAAAAAGTGAATCACTAGAAAAGAAAACCAACCAAAATCGATTGAAGGAGGCCTACCCAGAGACCATGGCTCTCTCTCTCTCTCTCTCTCGGCGCCCTTTCTTCTTTCACGGTCAGCATCGTTTCCAGTGACGGTAGAAAGAGAGAGAGAGAGAGAGAGAGAGAGAGACGGGGGGGAGCTAGAATAGATGGGATTTCTTCTCTCTTGTGGTTTCTTCATTTCCTTAGAAAATACGATGTGAGGGAGAAGACGACATCACAAGAACAAGAAGAAGAATGAAGAGAGGCGGCGGTCAGAGAGTTAGATGGAGGAGGAGCCTATGGTTTCGGTTCGGAGCAAGCGAAATGGAGAGGAGGCCGCTGCCTGGAATGGAGGATTGGCCTGGGAACTGGGATTACATATAGATAGCTCTATTTACCGTTTTGCCCCTCCATTTCCCGGAAATCACAATCTTCCCACCGTCTCCTGTTTTTGTGAAAAGGCAAAGGTAGTGAGTGAGTGCAAGGCTGAAGGTAATAAGAGATCATGGCCTCCAGCTAAGTAGCTTGCAAACATCCTCTGCCTCTTTAACTATGGGCCTGCCCTACCATGTGTTAACTCTAATACAAGTTGTCAACTCGGTTTAATTGGTTGTCCAGTTAAGAAAGTGGGTTGAGTGTTAATATCATGGTTTGTGAAATTGTACCGGTAGTTCAACGGTAAATTAACAGTATTGGAGGCTAAATCGGTAGAAGGTGAACCACGGTTGTAACATAAAATATCCTACAGCTTACTTTCCCGGTACAGTTTTCGATACGATTTCACTAACCTTGGTTAATGTTAATATATGTTTAGCGCTGATATATGGAAAAAAATCTTATATTGTTCTTACAATTATAAATTATATTGAATTTAACATATGATCAAATGGTATACTAAAAGAGTATGAAACAACATTTTTTTTTTGGTTCTTGAAACAACATTTTTTTAATTCTTATTCTTTGGAATAATTAGTCGAACAACATACTAATTGTCCTTAACATTTCATCAAACTTAAAATCATATAACCCTCGGTATTTAAAAAGAATTTGAATGTATTTTTAATTAACAATCAAATTTCTAAATTGTAAGTCAATCAAAGTAAAATCAAATCGTAGTTGTTAATTTGTGCTTGACCAGTTGATTTGAGTCGTGGTTTTTTTCTTTTATCTCACTCGTAGTTATCTTACTCGAAATCTCTTCTTTATTATATCAAGAGCATGTGAGTGGTGTTTCATTTATGATAAATACGAGCAACTAGCTTAACAAAAAAAAAAGTATAGTTAAGTTACACAATAAACGCCAAATTATGGAAAGTGTCAAGACATTAATATAGATGATGGAATTTCTTACTTTAAAATCAAACATTTAAATCTTCATCTTTTTTTTGAGTGACTAATGATGGAAGAATCATTATTTTCAATAGTTCAGTTTTTTGTTTTATTAATAAAACTACTTAACTTGTAAATTATTCATTTTGTGGCAGGAGTTCTATCTGTGCATATAACATCAGTGCGCCTCTGGCTGTGCGCAGAAGCTATATATGAAGTGAACCGAAATGCCTTTGGCGAGCGAGGAGTGGCGGAAGGGACTAATGGAAAGGTGGTGGAATTATTATTGGGCGCCGGTGGGGATAGCGGTGGCGGTCGTAGTGATCGGGAGCCTGAGATGGGCGGCGAAGAGAGGGAACGTGTGGTGGCAAGAGTCGGGGCTGCCGGAAGAAACGCGACGGCGGCTGCCTCCGGGGGATTACGGCTGGCCACTCATCGGCAACATGTGGTCTTTCCTTTCGGCTTTCAAGTCTCATGACCCCGATTCCTTCCTCCGCACTTTCACCAACAGGTTCTCTCTACATCTTCCTCCATTTCTTCATGATTCGTCTCCTTCACAACAATTTAATGATTTGCTTACCTTATGTGCTTGAGCAAATTTGGTTTTAACTTTTTCCATAAAAATAATAGATTTTATGCAACCGAAATCGAATTGCATTCACCTCCGTTAAACGCCCATATCAAGTTTCGAAATTTTGACATGTCTCCGGTGGCACCAAAATAACGACCACAGATAAGAGTTCTTGATCATAAAAAAAAATTTTGAATCGCGTCACATAGCTAGCTCATCGGGAAGCTGCACAATCCTTTTTAGGTGCTTAACTTGATAATTTGTTTTCTATACCAAAAGTTAATTGGCAGAATGAAATGAATGCTGCGTGCGGCAGCCAAGTGGTGAGTGACTCGACGAAACACAAACTGGGGGAATGGGTTGGCTTTGTGGGTAAAAGAATAATATGGTAAAGGTGGGTGGTGGGTAGGCGACAAAGTTTTGCATCCTAAAAAGGAGAAGAAAGAAACACCATAATGAGAATGAGGAAGTGCTAGCGTCTCTTGTTGTGACTTTTGAGTGCTACATTCTTTTAATATCTCATATGAAATCATCATCCCTATATTTGGTATGGCTTTTCAAATATTTTTTTCGTTCAAAAGTTGATTTCACTAATTTATTAGTCAGAACTGTTTCCTTTTTAAAAAGCTCAAACTAGAAGCAGTTTTTTTTTAAGTACACCAGTCTCCTAATTAATTACATTAGGCTTGACGATAAGTAATTAATATTATCATCCCTATTCCATGTAAATTAGTAATCCTTAAACTAAAAAGATTCCTGCCGCCTCTAGACAATATTCGAATTACAAATAAAGGGTCCCTTAGTTGTTTGTTAATACATTTTTTGTTTTAAGAGATCATGTTAAGTTTGAATGGGAGCATCTTTTGATCCATCCAATACTGAACATCTTGAAGCTCATACAACAACAATAAGAGGTTGAGTTTTATTTCAAAAATTGAATTTAAAGTTGTATGTTACCATTAAGTCAATTAAGAAGTTAGAGTGGAGATGCAGGGCATCGAACCCTGTACCTCCCGCATGCAAAGCGGGCGCTCTACCATTTGAGCTACATCCCCATTGTTTGCTGGTGCTTAAATTGTTTTTATTAAACTACGGATAATATAAGAATGTTAAAAGACAAAAATAATGAATGTTATAATAGTCTCTTTTTTCAAATGATACAATGAGCCTATAAAACAAAAGGATGTGGCTCACAGTTTGGGTGGAGCAATTTTGGAGAAAATTCGTTTGGCGATTGTTGCTTTTTCTCTGTTTTTTGTTCCTTTACTGCCTACAGATACACAGGCCTGCCCATCTAGTGGTTACTATTAACCTTTCATCGACAATTTAATTGATCGACTTCTGCGTTTGATTGTTTGATATACTTTAACTATCTTATTATACACTTATCTATCACAAAAAAAAATCCAGGAACCTATATGATATCATTGAAGAACTATTTTGTTTTATTTTTCTCTGAAATCCATTGGGCCACAGATATGGAGGACGTGGGCTTTACAAGTCCTTGATGTTTGGAAGGCCCAGCGTGTTCGTAACAACCCCGGAAGCATCCAAGCGAGTGCTAATGGAGGACGAAGCCTTCAAGCCCGGCTGGCCCACCTCCACGGTGGAGCTAATGGGCAAGAACTCCTTCATCGGCATCTCCTGCGAAGACCACAAGCGGCTCCGTCGTCTGACCGCCGCCCCGGTCAATGGGTACGAAGCCCTCTCCCTCTACATGACCTTCATCGGAGAGAACGTCGCTGCCGCGCTGGAGGAATGGTCTTTTGCCGGGGAGCCCTTGGAGCTACTGACCCAGCTCCGGAAGCTCACGTTCAGGATCATAATGTTCATCTTCCTCAGCTCCGAGTGCGAGGACGTCATGGAAACCTTGGAGAGACAGTACACCACGGTCAACCATGGAGTCAGAGCCATGGCTATCAACCTCCCTGGTTTTGCTTACTACAGAGCTCTCAAGGTAACAATTGCCCATTAATTTTTAGTGAGTATGAGAATCAGAATCAATCTCAAATGATCGTTTCATCTGTTAGGCGCGTAAGAAAGTGGTGGATGTGCTGCAATCGGTCCTAGATGAGCGCAGAAGCAGAATCAAACAGGAGGATGAGAGTGGGAAGCAGCAATTGGGAAAGAGCAAGAAGGTGGACATGATGGATGAATTGATGGGCGTAGAAGATGAGAATGGGTGGAAGCTTAGAGATGAGGAGATCATTGATGTTCTGTTGATGTACTTGAATGCTGGCCATGAATCCTCTGCTCATGTCACCATGTGGGCAATGGTGTTACTCCATCAGCACCATGATTGCCTTCGCAAAGCCAGGGTATGTAGACACCTATTTTTATGTATTTAGTTTACATTTTGGTATCCAGATTCTACTACTCTTTACTTATACAACAGGCTACATGCTTGATCAGGAGGAGTCGGAGGAAATCGTAAAGCGAAGGCCAATAAATCAAAAAGGCGTGTTGACCCTCAAGGAAATACGCCAAATGGATTACCTATCTAAGGTTGCTTCTTTTTTTTAGCTCCCGATGCGATAATCAAGTCTTTTCCTTTAACAGCTTGCTAATTAATCATGTACAGTTACTAAAGTTTTATAATGTGTCCTGCAGGTGATAGATGAGACACTTCGATTCATAACATTCTCTCTCGTTGTATTCAGAGAAGCGAAAACAGACGTGTATATGAGTGGTGAGTCGATTGATGGTTCGGAACTTCGGATTTATTAATCTTTGATCATTCTCCAAAACGTCACAATTGATGGTTCAATGTATGCATGGGGAAATGTAACATATGATCTTCTGACAGGTTATACGATTCCCAAGGGTTGGAGGGTATTAGTTTGGTTCAGAGGTGTTCATTTGGATCCTGAGGTATACCCGAATCCAAGAGCATTTGACCCTTCCAGATGGGATGTAAGTCCATTTAACCTGATATGTTATGCAAGAGAATAGGATTCAAGATTCACACTAATCGACATTTGCAAAAATGCAGAATCTGACACCAAAGGCGGGTACTTTCCTTCCATTTGGAGCAGGAAGCCATATGTGCCCTGGAAACGATCTTGCCAAGATCGAAATTGCTGCTTTCTTACACTATTTCCTCGTTGGCTATGAGTAAGTAGTAGTGAAACTTGCAGGTTGTCTCTCATCCGAGTGTGACTCGACCGCGACATTAAATGTACTGATTCGCGATTTAGAGATTTCAATGATTTTTTGGATTATGGTTGCAGGCTGGAGCTCGTGAATCCAGAGTGCCCCTTACAGTACTTGCCTCACCCGCGACCAAAAGACAACTGTTTGGCTCGTATCAAAAAGATATCGCAACATGGGTAGTCATCCTTCTCCTCCTCTCCATCGTCATCCTCTGCTTCCTGCTAGGGAGAAAAGAATCACATTGCACAGGTGGTATGTGTGGCATGTTAGGTTGTGGTACGATTGATGGTGCTAGGCTACCCAAATTCTGTTTGTGGAACGGAATAATGTAGTAGGTGGTTCACTGCTGAAAAAGCTCACGGGTACCAATGTGTGTTAGGTATCAATGGTTACTCGTAGTAAATAAACAACTTGTGATCTTTGTTACCCCCTGTACTCTCGTGGTTGAGAATGGATCACAATTTTCAACTGAATCGCTTGGAATCTGCTAAAGCAAAAGGATTAATGTTACTAACATGGAAGCTAAAGAAACCCATTTGGAGCCCAATTGAATATTATTGAAAGTTCATATGTTAGTATAACATGAGTTATTCGGTAGAACTTAGATTGGATCTCATGGTTGTTCATTGTTTGGAGCAAGGACCAAAAACTGGTATATGTTAAATTTCCTGTTCAAGGACCATCAAACCTTGGACAGCTCGCTCATAGCCTGAAAGTAGCACACTCGCACCAACTCATTGTTATAAATAATACGATCACCACGAAAGTCTGTTTGATTGGTTACATATCATTTTAGGCTTTTTGTACAAGCTCTCTTCTCCCTGGTCTCTCTCACCTAAATATCAAAACTGTCATACAACGAGGCGGCAAAAGAACCGACCAAACAACCCCCATGTAAATCCCTATTGGATTTTGATTTTACCAGCCACCAAAGTTCTTCTGAACTTTGGAGCTCTGAGAGGATCTACCACCCTTGTCTTATAGATTTCTGGAGGATATTCGATTCTGCCTCCCACGAGCTGCTGCTATTGCTCGCTTTTTGTGCTTGTTCAGCCTCTTGGTCAGCTCTGCATCACTCTCTGTTGCATTCTCGTCGTCTTCCTCTTTCTGGAATGGCCCAAAACCCAGAAAAGAAGATTATCATTTCAGGAAGACCCAAAATTCAAGGTGAAGCGACTATAATCTAACACTATACATAGAAGACATTCACAATGTAACTGTACCATAGAGTCGAAGTGTTTTCACAACTACTATAAGAAACTTAATACTACAAGCCACTTAAATCCATACCTCATCATCCGGCTGTCGCTTTGTGCCTTTTCAGTCAATTGATTCGCAACAATTTTTTCCTCTTCATTCGTTTGCTCTACCTGAATGGTATATCGTCCGGTAAGCACCATATATGATATTTCATTGTACGAGAAGTGAGTGAATGTAATATTTGAGGAAACGGAACCTGCTCATTTATCTGCAGAGAACCTAAGTTCGTGATGTCGGGTTCATGTGCCTCTGAAACATGCTCTTCATCCTCATCTTCTTCGCTGTCGGCACCTCCTTCAATGAACTACAACGTACATTTCAGTGAAAGTAATAATGCAGGTGACACACAAGAATTTTACCACATGCATAAACCAAAATATCGATAACGATAGCCAAGGGAGTAAATTTTGATGCCATATTCTTGTGGAAAGGAACTAAAAGTGAACCCAATAGCTTCAAGGCAAAAAAGGAAAACAGAAAGGAACACTTATCATACGAATGAAAGCATTATGGATTCAGCACGTGCAGGAATTTAAAATACACCAAACAACTACAGGTGGAAAGATAAAAGCTCTAATAGACAAGATAAGAGCAAAATATTCCAAGCATAAATTCATTGAATTCCAAAAGAAACTAACTTCTTAATCTACATACCGATTGACGTGGATAGAGAAAGAAAAAAGAATGTAATTTTTTACTTCGAAAAACACGTAACCCATACCTTCTCCATATCATCTTGATCCTTCTGTGTGAATCCACTAGTAGCAAGTATCAAGACAACCAGAAGACTTAGAAATCGAGGAAAAGGAAGGTCTTCCAGATTCGTCAATGTCTGCATGTGCAAAATTGTTATCGTCTGCATCGTCCTCGAAAGAGAGGTTATACCTACAGATGGAAAATCTGGTTAGAAGATCACTAGATAGAGCACATATGAGTCGACATCTAGGTACAAGCCAGGCAGACAAAGGTAGTACAAGTTCACAAGTATCCTAAATGAACATATGAAGCTTCAACCAGCTCAAACATCAAACAACACTATTGAGAGAGAGGCAAGTTTTCACTAATGACAGAAGGGAGAAAAATCCAAGTTCTTCCTAAGAGGATGTAGGAATCTAGTCGCAACTCTATATTTCAAGCTTCAACGCTGAAAGATATTAAAGAAATGAGAGAGTTGGCTTTTGAATATGCTTGAATTAAAATTTAGACAGACCTCTTGGCAAAGAACTTATAGATGCATTCAACATCACGGTCGAAGAACCTGCAGAACATTTAAGAAAAGAGTCAAACTTTTGACATTGAACAACACGAAAATATATAATTAAACAAGGAGAGAGAAATCAATAGCTTACATTTGTGCATTTTGATGAGACACCGATACCATCTGGGGGAAATCAATCATTATCACCTTCTCATCGTCATCAATCTATAAGTGATACAATAAAATGTTTCAATGATAGTTATTCAAAAAGTAAGACATGTAAGCGTACTCATTCCTGAGACCCATACAACATGCCATGATATTAAAGTCATTGAAGTCACAATGAATGAACCCGTGTTCTGCCAAACGAACGATAAGACCAAGAACTATTTCAAAAACAACTTCTGGATTCTGCAATTCCCTCACTTGCACACTGGCAACAAACAACCAAAAGGATTCAAAATTATTCCTTATTCTAGAGTTGCAGCTAATGCACAAACAACTGTAGTACTTACAGTGAATAGCCTTGAACAAGGGACATAATCACACAGTGTCTATTACAATCCATAGCTTTCTGAACAGGAAAACCATGATCTTCCAGAGCTTGTTCCGGCAATAAAAACTTGTCAGAAGCAATACAACAAAAGAACAACCAAAGTCTGCACCATGACACCTCCTAACCTTCATAAAAGCAAACTCCTTGAATGCTGCGAGTCGAGACAAATAGAGCCAGCTGAAACTACTTCGATGTCTCAGGTAATCACGCTTCGATTTCACAGCCCTGAAAGAAGTTATACCAAGTCTATGCAACTTCATAGCCAAAACTGTACCATCCTCTGTAGCCACTTCAAAGATATCTGGGGCAGGCGAAGGTCACACAAAATTTCAACAAGATATTCTCATTGTACTGAAATCAAACTAAAATGGATTAAAAAATCGTTTCTTTCCACCATAAAGTCACAGAAAGAAACCATTTCATAACTTACCAGACTCTTTTCCAACACCAATTTGGCGGCCAACATATGCGATGACTCCTCGATTAACCAAAGTTCTAATTGCGAGGAAATCGTACCCAAGATAGGTAAGCCGGAACCCATCATCTGCAGTAGTATTAGCATAGTAAGTACATTGCTGAACCCAGAAAAACATGCAATGAAGAAGCACAAGGACTAAAGCTCACATTTTGAGGAGTCATGGTGCACTAATTTATGCTTGAGCAAGTTCTTCAATACTTTATAAGTGCCCCCATGCCTACATTATGATCATTTTACAGCAAAAAAGGAATGCAACCCATTAAATCAGATTCAGAAACTGGAAGCAGTACTGTGAAGAACACTTACTTAAGAGAAGTTATACGGGAAATCAATTCTGCAGGCACAATCTCATGTTGTGACATGAAATACAGAGGAAAAACTTAAGAGCAAACAAATTACATGAAGAACTGAACTAAACTAAAAAGATACTCAGAAGATGATGATAAAATACATACGTTCCTCATGCCCATCTCGACAGCAGTAAGAACTCTGAAATCATCCTTCGAGAGGTATCTCAAGAACTCCACGTCCAATTTCATCTTTGCAAGTTGCTAGCTGCGGAAAAAGCAACGAGTTGAGAAGAGCGAAGAAGGGACTCAAATCAATTATGGATGGTTGGGATTTGTGGAGGACGAGAAGGCGACGGTCGACCGGAGAGTTGCAGGATGCGGCTGTCAGTTGGGGGAGATCGTCGAAATTTTGCTTTGTTTAGGCCTCGTTCACTTCCCATTTCGTTTTCTGTGATTTTGACAACAGAAAATGGAATCTGGAGAAATGGAAGCTGCCATTTTCTGAAAAACGAATTCTGAAAACCTAATACCTGTTTATATGAGATTTTTGGTGAATCAGAAAACTGTAATCTGAAAATGGAAACATGTTTAGTTGGTTACTAATCCTGAAAATGAAAACATGTTTTGTTGATCTATATTTAACATATCTACGTCTACAGACTACAATAAATATTGTTACTTGACGATTAGACAATCATACTATCCTAATAACTTGTTAACAAATCGAGCTATCAGGAGAGCATGAAAACTGATTTATGCCACTTATATGTAATCTCAACCAAAATATTATTGACTTGAGGATTGCACACAGAGGCATCATATATTCAAGCATCAATCAAGTGCTTAAAAGGAGCCAAGGTCATCATTATTCGGAACAAAATTCAGGCAAAGTTTTTTACCATGTAGATGCACGACCAGTTGGTTAAACACACTACAAATGCAAGCAATTAAACACTACAAATTGGCTAACACACAACACATTCAAGCAATTAAGCACTATAGATTGGCTAAACACACTACAAATCGTAAAATTCACAGATCCAGGGGCACTGGTCGGCGTCTCGGCGACAAGAATACACATTAAAGAACAAAGGAAGAGAGACGAGGAGTTTTACCTGAACCCAGCAGGGGAGTCGCGAGCAGCACGGCAATAGTGGACCTTCTGGGTTCTTCAGGGGAGGAAGAGAGGCGGGAAGGGGAGATTCGCGAGCAGCAGGGGAGAAACTTGAGGCCGACACGGTGGACTCCGAGAGGCGGCTGTGAGATTCGCGAGCAGCAGGGGAGAAGCTTCAGGCCGACGCGGTCGAGATCTTCATGTCGCGAGAAGAGCTTGAGCCCCGGAGGGGAGTTGCCTGGAGGGAAGAGTCGTCGCCGTCGATTCGATCGGAGACAGTTGCTGTTGCGGGAGAAGAGAGGACGAGGGGAGAGGCGGCCAAGTCGCTTATTTTTGTTCGTGTAAACAAAACAGGGCCTTAGGGCTTTCGAAGTCGAGGACTGCAATAGTCCGTTTGGTGCCTAACTGCCATTCTGTGAATTGGCGCAATTTTTCGGGTAGGAATCCTTATATGGACCGGATTATATTTTTGGCCCAACCTGAATTTTTGGCTTGTCAATTCAATTGTCATAATACTCTGGGCCGGGCCAATGGGTGGACAGATCGAATCTACCGCATTAGTGTGGATTGTTTCAACTTTCAAGTGATGATCTAGAGGGTCATGGGCAAAGGGAGAAAGTAATTGACCAAACAAAATTTACATGGTTTATTGATATGATGTGGCAAAGTAGTTCATACACAAAAGAGACATGTTTTATTGTCTTGAGAATAGTACAGGATTGGGTCTAGTTCAGTCGATTTACCATGTGATCTAATTTGTGAGAAAGTAGTTAAAATTCATATATGGACCTCTCCAGCAACTTGAGTTATTGAGACCAATTGGTATATGACATTATAGTCGTTCTCCTCATTATTTAACAACTCGATTGAGTGTTCGGCCCTTATTTTCTATCTATGAGAATGTGTGACGTAGTTCATAGTAAGTCAGCTACTATATCATATGCAAACACTCCCAATCTAAGGATATTAACCTGCAACCAAAACACGTATAATTTTATCCCGACTTTTAACCAATCATTGATGAACTCCTAACCCACGAGTTCAAGGGTTTTACTTGTAACTCAAAAGCGAGAGAACGACGTAAAGTGTCGAAAGACTCTCAGGTTTATTATTGATTCATTAATCGAACTAATGTCGTGATTACAATATTTAGGCGACTAAACTAAATACGTAACCCTAGCTATAGCCGAACCCTACTACTTACCTAGACAACTCGGCAACCCTACAGAGACTACTATTTAGCCTCTAATCCTATTAACTACTTGGACCATGCATATTCCTTACTATCTAGCTACGTAACTCACTAATCTAACCCATACCAACTAATAGAACGCATAACACGAACTAACCCCAAAGCCCAAACCCTACCTCATCAATCATTTACGTCTTATCTCGAGCAATCAAACTTCATCCGCTTGATCTTTGATATGATTTCACAAACAGATTGATTATGTACATACTATATTGAAAAGAGGATAACATTATCGGTGACAAGAATGAGCCCAACAAATTCTTGTGTTTTTGCGAGGGTGCACATGCGGCATGTGATTGGGAAAATCAGATGCTGACATAGTAAGGATCTGGTTGGTTGCTCAATAGAGAAATGATAAGATAATGATCAGTACGAATCTTGAGATCTGTAGAGTACGCTCATGTACGTACCTTCGAAACCCTTAACCATATATACCACCAAAACTAGGTTAGTTTTTGGGAGTAATATAAACTTATCATTTGTTTAGGTAAGCATATCGCTAGTTGGTGTTGATTAAAGCTATATTTAGGGTTTGAGCTACGAAAATATTTCAAAAGAAAGTTCCACCAAATAAACTGGTTTTGTGATGAATTTTAATCCATGTCTATGGTATAGAATATCGATTCATTAGGCATTTGGTATGGGTATATCTCACATATATAGACAATGGTTCTATTTAAAAATACATTACATATTGATTTTTTGTTCAAATTCACATATAAAGTTGTGGTTCTAAACAATTTGCTTTAGGGGTGGCTATACGGTCTGGTTAAACTGGTCCGAATTGCACCGGTCCCGGTCCGATCTTTTCAGGAATACGAGGGGCAAAGATGGAATTGTATACAGTCTAGTCTTGACCCATTTCAATCCCAATTCGGTCTTGATTTTAGATGACCTTGTGGGGGGTTTAAGTGGGCTGAGGCCTGAAAGAGTGAGGAGTTGGTTAGGTTTTGGGTGTTGGACTCTCTTATCCGGTTTTTATCTGGTTTCCGGTGCGGTCCCAAACAGTTTTTTACCTCAAATCTAAGCCCGAAAACTAGATTTGATTATTTGCTATCCGGTTCTAGTCCGGATTATACGATCTCATTTCGGGTAAAACCAAAAAACCTAGACTAAATAGTCACCCCTACTATGTATCACTAAATCGACCATCACAAACGGTAAAAAAAAAAAATGTGAAGAAAGGGCCCCTCGTCATAAAACCAGCAATGGCTTCTTTGGCTTCACTAGCTAGCAGGGACACTATTATACTCTCTCCCACGAGATCAGGTTACATGGCCATCAAGCCCAAAAACAAAAACCGTAAATGAGCAAGAAAGACAAAACCTATTAAATACATAAAGGTCAAAGAGGAACAATTGCTCAGAAGTCAGAAGTAGCAGAGATAATAAATTTTGCACGAAAAAAGTCACCATGGGAAGAGAAGAAGACAACCGCCATGAACGTCCCATTTGTCTTGCCAACCCCCACCGACGTGAGCTTTTGTTGCTTCTTATTATTGCCCCCAAAACATGACTCCAATGCAATGACATTGACATGAAGAAGAATACGTTAAAAGTGGTGGCCTAACTCAATTACTAAGCTATTTTTTTTACAAAGGGGATTTTATTGCACTTCAAATTGATCAGTTACAAAGAGGGAGAACGAACCAACAATCTGGTTCCAACAAGAGGAAGCCCAAAGGCATCCGGTTACAAACAAAGCTGTGTAAGACAAAATGCAGCAACAGAGAACAAAACACAGTCTGCAAAGCAACCATTTGGAAAGAGCAAAACCCTTGACCGAAAACAGATCATCAAGAATCTCTCTTGTAAACAACCAATCAAAGTGCAACAAAACCAAAATCAGCTTGTCCGATCATATCGAAATCCATGGTAGTTGCACATCATCACTCCACGTGCCGCCTCCTAGGGAAAACTCAAAGGCATCCATCACAGTGAATCTAGAAACTAGACTGCATGGCGGTGGAAGAGGATATAACCAGATTGCTCCAAGTTGAAGAGGCAGAGGAGGTCGAGGCAGAGAGATCAGGTTCGAAGAAGAGCAGAAACTCCCAAAGTAGCCACCAACCTCCACGAAAACATCGAATCCCAACTGTAACCACCGGAGAAGACCCAACCCACCACCATCCGACAGCTCACCAAGCCACTTAAACACCTAGGGGGGTCGGAGAGGGGAAGAAGGGAATGGCTTCACCTTGAAGATGATGCCACCAACAGGGGACAACCCACCATCCAGATCTAGAAGAGGCTCCCAAGTTGCAGACTCCAGCTCCTACGACGAGCAAGCCCAAGAACAAGGACCCAGATCTGAAAGAAGAGTCATAGCTCAACTGGAAATGAAAAAACTGAAAGCCAGAACGGCTGAAAATCCGATTGAAAACTGCCCAGGACACAGGCAAGAGCACCAAAGCAAGAAAAGGAAACAAAAGCAGGAAAATAAAAAGCTTTGGGCTACCGCCGGTCACCTAAAACGAGCCGGCGGCAGCCCCCGGAATCAGAAAATGGAGGCTGGAAGAAGAGAGAAGGCAGAGCTTCTTTCAAAAAGGGAAAGGTAGAGAGAGAGAGTTGGTTCCTGGAGGCAATTCTTGGCTCAACTCTTGATTGACTCACCCATTACTGAGCTATTGATGTTGGCCAATATTAGATGAAGCAATCAGAGCTAGGCTCTCATTTCATGTAGGACTGGGAAACGGTGCGGTCTGATCCAGACCAGATCATATATACGGTCTATGGTCCAGATCGAGAGGCTGAAGTATAGACCACAGACCAGACCACAGAGTATACTGTCCGGTCCAGATCATGCATGTGCCGTTTGGTTCGGTCTGGTCTGGTCCAGATAGACCACACTCAACGAAAAATGAACAATTTGTTTAGTCAACCACACAAAAAATTGAACCAATAACCAAGAAAAATAATTGTTATTTGCCTTAAAACATTAATCCTAACATGCATGAATAATTTTGATACCCTAATTCTTAATACATACAAAATTAAGGTTGAGACTTGGGTGTCGTTGTGCGAGTTGAGAGAGTGGTCAAATGGGCTGTTAACACATATTGACAAGTCGGTTGAGTCCACGGTTTGGTCCGGTAAACCGCGGTTTAGACCAGACCAGACCAAGAGATCAAAACATAAAATAATACTGACCATGGACCAGACCAGACCATACTTAACGGTTCACGGTCCGGACCAAACTGTACGGTACGGTTTGGACCATGGTTTTTCTAACGGTCTGGTCTATTTTCCCAGCCCTAATTTCTTGGGTGTCAGATACTTTAATTTATAGAGGGTAGTTTAAGTTAACATGTATTATACGCATTCAACAACAAAGATGTGGTATTGAATGAGAGATTATCAATAACTGTATTTTAATTATGTGCATGCAATTGTGGCTTTGGTTATACAAACTTCAAAATCTGAGAAAATTTACAACCATCATTTGACGTGTTTCACGAAGTTATCGTAATATTTCAAGAGAAAGTTTCTATAACGTGGTTTTAGAAGACCAACATGATGACTTGTAAAGTGAGTCCATTACATATATATATTATTAGTTCATAGTGAGTGTATATATCTTTGGTATGACCCTTTAATTATTGAAATATAGCATGTTGTCTAGTTGAAACTCTGTCTATTATAGTTAATAGAACTTAGTTGTAAATGGTCATACTTAATAACTTAGTACTGGTCTACGATGTGCCTTGGAATTAACTAGCAGTCTACTTGATACATTGTGTACTCTATCACTTGAATAAGAGAAACCCTGAGCCATCCATGAATTTATAAGTTTACTGCTTGAAGCAAATTATCTTATGAGATCACTCGCCATGTGCATATACGTTTTCCTTTGTTTGTTCACTTTGTTGATTGAGCTAGAGAATGCAACAATGAAACTTTTCGTTGCTGATCTCTTTCCCCTCGATGCTCATGATCAAGAGCACAACCCTTTCCTCCATTGATATGGTAGTGCTTGCATATATTTCATCATATGGAACGATGGAAGAAGCTATGTACGGAAGTACGATTGTGGAAGAAATGGTGGGGGTACATATTGTTGTTCTGGAACATTTGTGGGCAGGTGAAGGTGGGCGTAATTAGTTCTAGAAGACATATGAGAGGTGACATGGCACCGCCAAGTGGGCTGATCGAGTCTGACTGCGGGCTCAACTCTCGAGCCCAAAGAAAAGAAGTCACAAAAGTCTGTCGGTGTTGAGTTGCAAATGTCAATCTTTAAATAGAGAACAACATTCACTAACCAAACCAAGTCAACCCACATTGTGTTTTGTTTTTTCCATTCTATTACCGTGTGATTCTTGTTCTGAGGTGTTTGAATTGAGGGAGGTAGGATGAAAAGGTGGCCAATTGTTTATCCAACTAGAGATAGGGATGTCTCATTTTTTGTGTTGTGTGGATGATGATTATAGTTTAACGATAAAATTATCTTAGAAAATGATACAAGAATTTTGTTTTTTTTTTGTTTCTTTTTGAAAGTAGGGTTATTGGTGAGATTAATTCAACTTTTGATATGGTATATATTACGGTCAAAAGATAAACATTATTTTTTTTCCCTCATGAAATACACAACGAGAATGTAAATCATTGTCCTTGTTGGTTGTTTGCTCTTTTTCCTCTCACAACCTTTTTTCTCCTACATGATCAGGGAAGTAAATATAAACTATAAAATTCATTATCCATTTTCTTCCAATAATTCGAATTATTGGAGCTAATTGGTTCTGAAGAAGAATGTTGTGAAGCCAAATGTAAATTACCCTTAAAAAATGGTTGGAATCAAAATACTATAGCTGAGGGGTAAGATTGTTCAGATTCATGATCACCTGTTAGTGTAATTTTGCATTTCACCACTTGTCTAAGAATACAATTTCCTCTTTGATCATGCTATCTAATAGTGCATAAGGTTTCACATTTCATTATCGAACCAAACCTATTTATCATTCTCTCGAGAGTTATGTGTGTTAAACCAATGATCACCCCTTGAGTATGTACTAAAGCAAAATCAGATTAAGCATCGATTTGTGGTGGTCTAATGGTAATGGGACTTATTTGGTATTTTGGCCAATGAGGTTAAAGCATTTAACGTTGGCTTAGTTACCTTGTTTAGCATGAAGAAGGTCAGGCGTTTGTGCACCAAGAACCTTTGAATCTTTAACCACATGGTTAACTAAAGCCTAGTCTTATGAATATTTAATATCTTTTTATCATATTCCTTAAATAATTTGTTTGTTGGTTACAGAAGGAATCTGATTACATAGGATTATCCAAATAATTGATGTAGAGTAGATACTTCAACTAAAATTATAATTATAATTGCATGTTGAGTCAATCGAGAATAAGCTAAATTACTCTATTTGTTGAATGAGTTAAAAAATTGCTCTTATACCAATATTCCACTACCAAATGAGTTTTGTATTGAACTTCACGTTCATACCAAAGCTTACTATATTTTGTACAATTAAGCTTATGACATGGGTAAGCACCATATACCTTTCAATCAAATTATAGATTGAATATAAATTTAAAGTCAGTTGTTGAAATTGAAAATGTAACTCAAAGAATGCAACAAGGACACCATCACAATTCACATCTTCTTCCTCTTTCTTCTTTACCAAATTCTGCAATTCACATAATCTAGTCTTCATTTTTCTCATTGTCATTTCCTTTCATATTCAAGGAAACTCATAGATATAGAAGGGAGGGAGAAAGTTGAGATAATTGACTCTCTTTACTTTTCCTAGTCACTACATAGCAATGTGCATCTTCTTTTATTTTTATCGTCTCCTTCCGAATATAGAAATGTGGAGAGAAACGACAAGGATCGTAGGAGAATAGAAGTTGCAACTCGAATTTGAAATAAATGCAATATTCTTTTCCTCTAGCATATTGAAACCTTAGATAATATGCATCATCTACATATTGAAATAACTAAACCTAATTGATTAAATTATTGGATCTCACCTTAAATCAAACCGAAAGATATTTAGTCCATTTAAAAAAAAATCGTTTACCATAAGTATCTTAATAATAAAGCTTATTATTTACTTGCTTGTCTGAAAATTGGAAAACAGATTCCTATAGAAAAGGAAAGCAAATTAAAGAACAAAAAGGAGACTTAATAAAAAGTTAAATTATTAAAAACCCCACAAACTGTTGTCTGACAAAGACTCAAATCCTGCCTAGCCGCGGCTTTATCTGCAGCAACCAGATCAAACAGAAAAAGAGGAAAGAAAGAACGAAACATCACAGCATTCTTCTTCTCCCTTCACCACCCACACTCCACCAAAGATAGAAGAACCAAAAGAGAGAAATAGCTAAGAAGAAGAAGAAGAAAGTTTTCAGTTCTGTTCTGACACAGACATACAATTTTCTCTAGAATTCCTCACCTGGGTGTTGTTGTTCATCTCTCTTCAATCAATCCAACCTCATCAAGGTTCTCCACCCACCATACCTTTTTCTTTCCTAATCTTCCCCAACTCTGCTTGCTGGTAGTTCTAATCCTGTTTCATCAAATTCCCCAAAGTCGTTTCCTTTTTCCCAATTCTTCTTTCTTCTGGTTTTCTTGGTGTCAGTCACACTACCATGCGAAGCTCTACTTCTTGCATAAGGCCCCAAATGTCTGAAGTCTAGACCTTTTTCTGGATCTGGGAAGTCTGAATTGTTTGGAGTAAAGTGTGGGGCAAAATCTGAGGCTTTGGGGAGTTGGGTTTAGCTCAGAGGACTGGTAGATGTGAAGGGTCACTGTGAGTTTTGATAGATGGTGTTGGTTTCCATTGACTTGGTAGTATAGAGCGGAGGAGGTTTGTTAAAGCTATGGGATCTACTAACTTGATGAATTATAAAGGGGAGTTCAATTTGGAAGATAGGCTGTTGATTGATCCTAAGCTGCTCTTTGTTGGACCAAAGATTGGTGAAGGTGCTCATGCCAAAGTTTATGAGGGAAAGTAAGTCAACCTTCTCCTTCTTCCTTGCACCATTCCAGACAATTATTTGATTCTGAAGCTTCTTTGCTATTTCTGGATAGACCCTTAATTTCTTAGTTGGGAATTTTGTTTGGACAAATCTATGCAAATCTAGAGGATCACTTGGTCGAATTGTTGGCCTTTCTGTTGTTTTCTGGTCAAACCTCATTTGCTGCCCTCTTTCTTGCATCAAATGTTTTGGTAGGTATAAGAATCAAACTGTGGCAATTAAAGTAGTTCATAGAGGGGAAACACCAGAGGAGATTGCCAAGAGAGAAGCACGGTTTGCCAGGGAGATTGCAATGTTATCCAAAGTGCAGCACAAGAACCTGGTCAAGGTTTGTTTTGCTTTTGTCCCTCTGCAATATTTTGTTTCTGTCATGTCTCCTCATTTGGTTTTATGTTCTGATTGGGCCATTTTTTGGGTGAATCAGTTCCTTGGTGCTTGCAAAGAACCAGTCATGGTGATAGTAACTGAGCTTCTGCTAGGTGGGACGCTACGAAAGTACTTGCTGAACATGCGGCCAAGGTGCTTGGAGAAGCATGTTGCAATTGGTTTCGCTCTCGATATTGCTCGTGCGATGGAGTGCTTACACTCCCATGGGATCATTCACCGTGATCTTAAACCCGGTATGTTAAAATCATTTGCTGGTTATAGTGGTTTTCTCCGGTCCTTGAATCTCTGTAGTTTGTAAACTATCAGCTGTTCTGCTTGTGCACAAATGGTCGTCGAGTGAAAGAACTTAAAGATGCCTCTCTCAGCTTGTTGTTATAGCTCTGCCTGGCACTTTTAGCTCTTCTCTACTGAATAATTTTGTGAGTTATTATTGGAAATGCCCACAGCGTACAAGATATGGGCTAGGTATTTCTGGTTTAGTCTACTAGTTCTGCCCAAGAAGGAATTCCCTGGCTTTGAATTTGAAGGCTTAGTACGTTGCTGCTTTTTCATACTTGTTAGTTCTGATCCCACACTTCTTTCTGTAGACAACTTGCTGTTGACAGCAGACCACAGAACAGTAAAACTTGCAGATTTTGGTTTAGCAAGAGAAGAGTCATTAACCGAGATGATGACTGCCGAAACAGGAACATATAGATGGATGGCCCCTGAGGTAGAACTAATAGTCTAATACCATATCTTGTCAGTGATGTAAGTCTTGTTTTAAGCAACACACCAAGAATTTAATTTCCATGATCTCGCTGGCAGCTTTACAGCACGGTAACATTAAGGCATGGTGAGAAAAAGCACTATAATCACAAGGTGGATGCTTATAGTTTTGCAATCGTATTGTGGGAGCTTGTCCATAACAAATTACCTTTCGAAGGCATGTCCAATCTACAGGCAGCTTATGCTGCTGCTTTCAAGGTGAGCATACTAGTTTCAACCCGAATCCTCTCACTAGCGAAAATTGCTGTATGGTTAGTCGAAATCTACTGGAATTTGCTTGACTTGGTAACGCATTTCAGAACGTTAGACCCAGTGCCGAAGACCTCCCCGAGGAGCTGGCCTTAATAGTAACCTCATGTTGGCAAGAGGATGCAAATGCCAGGCCGAACTTCTCCGAGATCATACAGATGCTCCACCGATACCTCACCACAGTATCGCCAGCAGCACCTGTGATCCCAGCTCGGATGTATTCATCCGAGAACAAAGTCCTGGCCCCCGATTCACCTGGCGAAAGCTCTCTAATGGCTGCAAGAGATGACCCAGGTGACACCCCCAAAACCCAGAATGGAGAAGAAGATGACAAGCCTAGTAGAGGCTTCTTCTTCTGCTGTTAATGATATCGTGAAATGAAATCGCTCCAAAAAAGGCGCAACATTTGAAGTCATTTTGGAGTACAAAAAAAAAAAAGGTTTACATCTTTGATGACAGGATTATAAACCCCAAAAACAAACTTAGTTGTAGCAGCAGCAATGGAGAAAGGGAGCTCTGGAATAGTAGTCATGGTGGAGATCCCACTTTTTCCTTAAAAGTGAATATTAGCAGTTCTTTTTTGTATGTTCTTCTGACTCAGAAATATTTTATCATGTCATATCCTCTTATGTCTGGAAAAGGGAAGAAAGGAAGCAAAGTTTTGGGATCAGGGAGTGGAGGGGTTGCACTTTGCTGGTAGTGGTGGTGGTAGTGGGGAGAGTGATGTATGATTATTATTAACTCAACTAGCACCGGGCCCGGCCCCTTTGCCGGGAAAGTCTAGACAAAAAATATGTTCATATAACATGCTTACAATATAATAGGAAGATACGACATATCACTGAAAAAAGAAATATAATTGTTCAAAGAAGAAAAGAAAAACATACAAAATAATAGGTTTTCAATACTTAAAAATGGCAAATAGTTCAAGATTAGAGTTGTTTTTCCTAAAACATACATAATGAACCCTCAGAAGGAAAGAAAAAGATTGGTCTCTAACAGATTTTAGGAATGAGATCATTTGTAACCCCAATTAATGTCTAACAGATACACCCATATTATTCCTCTTCATAGAAAGTAGAATAAGGATCAGCTGGTTTGGAAGCATGCTAGTCGTAGTCCCCGAAGATGCCTAGAAAATAGTCCGGGTTCTCAAGAGAGCTTCAAACTTAAGGCTGAGTGCAACTAATTTTGAATTACATATGTTTGTCTTTGTCAGTGTTGCTGATACTTTCACTGACTACTTTGATTGGTAAGTTGACCATAAATAATAGGGATATACCTTATTTTGACCTTGAAGTTTGTCGTAAAAGCCAAACTTGACATGAACTTGCAAATAAGACAGTTTTTCAAAATTTTGAAAGAAATGGACAAATTTGGACTGAAATTTATGTTGTTCGTTAATATTAAAAGTTAAAAATTTCTTCATCCATTCAACATACAATGCTCAGGTGGTTGCGATTGCGATGTGGCTTCCATGTCATAGGGATGATACCTTATTTTGGCATGAACTTGATGTAAAAGACAATTTTGGCTCGAATTTTCAAATAAGATAGGTTTGTTTGCACTTTGAAAGAAATGAACAAATTTGGTCCGAAATTTGGGTTGACCTTTAATATTGACAGTTGTGATAGAGAGGTTTCGGTTGCGATGTGGCTTCCAAGTCATTTATTTATAAAGTCTAAAAAAGTGAATTTTTCAGAAGAAAAAAAGACCACAAAATAGGACCCTTAGTATATCCTAATATTTTCATATTTACTTGCATAAATCATATTAAAAGGAAAAAGAAATTGATTCAGGCCCCCAAAAATCCCAAAGCACGAAGCTATCTCTCTTTGTACCCCTCTCATCAATATTAACGGCAACCTAAATTTTGGGTCAAAGTTATTCATTTCTTTGAAAATTCGTACAAAACTGTCTTATTTGAAAGTGTAGGGCAAAATAGCATATTATACCTATGACGTGAAAGTCACACCACAGTCACCTTAACATTGTATGTTGAGTCATAAAAAAAAGAAATGTTTGACCCTCAATATTAATAACCGACCAAATTTGTTAATTTCTTTCAAATTCGGACAAAACTATCTTATTTGAATGTTCATGCCAAAATTGTTATTTACATCAAAGTTCAACAAAAAATAGGATATTATCCCTAAATAATATAGGAGTACTAAAAATATTGGACTAATGAAGTTCAAAATGTTTCAAACAACATACAACCCTGATAAAACTGCAGTCCAACCAACTAACATTTAGAACAAATGACTTTCCAGCAGGATAACACAACTATAAGTATGGGTGGTTCTATCATATTTTGATTAAGAAAATGACATAAGGAAATGATATATAGACCTTGAATGATATACTCTGAGTATGAAAATGATGTCTAGTGGCCGGAGCTAGGGACATGGTACTATACCTTAAGCCCTTACAGATTAAAATCTAGGTCTTAATTCTATGAAGCTCATATACTAAGATCAATTTTATTAGAAACAATAATCGAAGGTCGTGTTTCATCAAAATACATCAAAAAAATTATGTGCATAATCTTAGTGTTTAGGGCAAGGATTGAAAACCCTTAACGTACCGGGGGTTCGACTAAACCAGTAGGCACTATGTAGTGTTGTGAAACGACTGAATCACGGTTAACCACAGTTTTCGCATAAAATACCCTCCTGCCGACTTTTTCGGTACAACCTCTGATGAGGTTTTATAATCCTTGGTTTAGGATCTATGATTTAAATAGTTAAGACCTAGAGTTCACTCGTCAAGGGTTAGAATATAGTGTCTCGTCTCGAAATCAGGTTAATTCAAAGTCTAGATTGCCATTTCTTACCAAGGGTATGAGTTACCTTTTGATTTTACTCAAAATATGATAGAAAATACTACACACACATACTGGTATACTACAGGAGTATAGTATACTGGTATACTCCAAGAGTATAGTATACTCCACATGATCTAGACATTAGATGTACTTTGTTGAGCTCCAATCAATCTCAATGGTCAATTATAATTTTCCATTAAATTAAACTTTGGGTTTGAGTTTAGAGAATCGGGGCCTGGGGTTTATCCATTAGAGGTTAGGGTAGAGTATCATACCCCAAACTCGGTTAAAAATCATGGTCTAGATAGAGATATCTCACGAAGAGTACCTGAAGTATAATATACTCCAGGAGTACACCAGTCTGACCCATATATATGTGGTTGTGTGTGCACATATATATTTAATATTGTAATTTGATATGCAATATTCGAATAAATGATATTTGGATTGCGGTTTTAAAATTATCCTCCATTTATAAGATAGATTACCATTATTATTGAAGTCAAAATAAAATAATAATAAATGATAATCAAAGATCCAACACTAAAAATGCTTAAGAAAGACTTAGTGGGGTAGCTAACTGTGCTGGAAAAGTCATTTGATTTTCAGAATTTTGCCTCTTGTATGTTTTTTTTATAAATAAATGCAACAAATTTGTTTAGTCTTATTGGTTATGACTCTTGTCCTTGTTAGAAGAGACCCGGGTTCAAATCTTGACACTGATATTTTTTTCAAATAAAAAAATAAACAATTGCAATGACGAAAGTACCCTTCCTTCTTTCACTCTCGTTGCAGAAAATTTGAAATGGAAGAAAGTTGAGTCATGAATCTCCATCATATATCTTATAGATTAATCAAATGTCTGTGTAATAAGAAAAGGTTCCTCTAAGAAGGAACTTCTTTTCCTTCTTCTTCCCATTACTGTTCTTGTTGTTCATAGTTTGGTCTTCTGTTGGTGCTGTTGAATGTTGATAATGAGGAATGGAATAGAAAGTAACAGTCTTTTCCCTATTAAAGGACTATCTGGTTCTGGTCTGATTTTGGTTAATTTGTCAATTCTTTGCTTTGAAATCATGGAATGGAATGGCCTGAAAGTCTCACCCTGAATGGCATCAAGTTGACTTTAAGTAACAGTGGCTTTCATGTTGGGCTGTTTGGATTAACCAGTGGGCTTTTTATGGTTGACAAGTGCGCTTTTCCATGGTGGAGAGTGGAGATACTCGGCCCAAAGTTTGGTGGGTTGATCTCGGCGACTGCTCTGTTTTCGAAATAAGATAGGCCCATATCCAAGAAAGACAAAAAAGAAAAACTCGCCGTTGCCGGGGATCGAACCCGGGTCACCCGCGTGACAGGCGGGAATACTTACCACTATACTACAACGACCTTGATATTGATAAGGTCACAAAATAATTTAGGAACGGTAAAGGACCACTTACCTCCATAAGTACATGTATGTTGTGTAGTAAAATGTAGTGAGTGAGAGATAGTTTAGGGAGCGGACAATTATCCCTTCCTATGTGGGCTTGAGGGATTAAACACTTAAATATAGTACGTCAGGCTTTTGTATATATAGGCTTCTTCGATACACTCACAAAAATGAATGTATATTGTGCACCCAACTCTAAAAGTAGGTATAGGACACTGAATTTTGGCTTTTAATTGAGAGCATTATTCTAATATGATGATACAATGTAAGATAGGATCACAACTAAACAATGCATTACCTTAAACTCTAAACCTTCAAATTTGAACCGTAACCCTAATCTCCAAATTGCAAACCCTAAATTCCTAAACTCTGAAATCTTCATATCATTTCCTTGTCTATCGAAATTCATGCATTTTCTTGTCCATTATATCACAAGTGACGTATAATACCGTTTTACGTGAATCACCTCCTCAAAATGTGCGGGTGCATCATGAATGCACCATAGAAAAAACCTTATATATATATATATATATATATATATGGTAAAGACTGATATACACCATGTTATCTGGTTGTTAGTACTTCGATGAGATCCGAACAATCTCAATGATCAATCATTGTTTTCTATTAAATTGAACTTTGGGTTCAAGTTTGATTTAATTTACATATTAAATCCCATATGTAACGTCGAACTATTTTTACTTAAAAAGACTACTTCTGTTATTGTGAAATTAAACAGTGCTGTCTATGCCTTAATTCTCATGATTTCTGTCCAAAGATTCAGTCAAGATCTCTCTTCTAATATATATCAATGCTTCTGCAACAAGATGAGATCTTTTCATTCATGGTGGTCTTTTGACAGAGATGTTTTGTTCTTATTACATGTTGAAGCTTGACTTATATGCATTAATGCGATTGATCAACGTTAGATACAATTATGATAGTCGACAGGATTAGCTTGTAATAAATTTGCCCAACCCCATGGTTATACTTGGTGCAACATGTCGATTTCTCCGAGATGCTCTAGGATATTGGTATAATGGCTCACTCATAAATGGTGTTGGCGATTTGGGTGTCTCGATCTGCCTAGCTCCAGTCCCATTCAAATCCCCTGTCTTCCAAATCTGAAGAAATCTAATGTCATGGTGCATATAGGGTGGCTATACGGTCCGGTCCGGTTAAATTGGACCAAATTGATCCGGTCCCAATCCGGTCTTTTCGGGAATATAAGGACCAAAGATTGGATTGGATACAGTCCGGTCTTGACCCGGTCCGGTCCCAAATTGATCTTGATTTTAGGTGTTGGGGGTCTCTTATCCAGTCTTTATCCGGTTTTTTATCTCAAATCTAAGCCCGAATATGAGATTGGATTGTTTGCTATCCGGTCCAGGTCCGGGTTATACGGTCCGGTTTCAGATAAAACCAAACAGTCCGGGACCAAATAGCCAGCCCTAGGTGCATGTGTGTCCTCAATCTTTAGTCCTCCAGCCTTAGAGTTTATTTATGCATCGTGCCCTCATCATCCTCGTGAGCGTGGAGGCCCTGTTCTAAAATTAAGATGTGGTCCAAATTGACTTTTACGTACAATAAAATTAAAATGATAATATCATCATCAAATGAAATGTAATATATTTCTAACATTGTTCAAAATAAAATTATCTATTATCTATGTAATTTTCGTATTCTTCATAAGATATTAAGATAATTTCAATTGTTATCATAGCTATTTCATTAAGACTTTCTTGTATTGTTTTCTAATATAAATAGTTTTTTTTGTAACATGAGCAATACTTTAACAATCAATTTACGTGTCTAGTGTATATATACATGAAATATTAACCATTGACTAACACCAATATTAATTTATATAATTAAACTCGTCATCATACTCATAATCAATTAATTATACATTACAAATACAACCTACAATATAAAATTGGATTAACTAAATGATTTACATCGAGGCCACCTAATATTTGGAGCTCCTATGCTGGAGGGTCTCTCGACACACCCTCTGGCCGACCCTAAAGGAAGTAGTAGAGTACCTATGAAATGATCCTATTTTGTGTGACCAACAACAAACCAAAAGATGATCTATGAATGAAGGCTTGGTATCTAGTGTGATTTACTTAAGGAGTTGGGATCAATGGAACTATAAACCTCAAAACGGCCTAACTCATTACTAGCGCAAGTATGAGTGGTATGAGAATGTAATACCAACAAGTTAACGATTGGAAGCTTTTCTTTGTTACCCTACGTATCCATTTGTCTGATGCATACCTGTCATATACCTACTCAAAATAGGGATCCTTCATATTAGGTCATAAAGACAAGTTGGTCGCTAAAAATATGAGAAAAAATTGTTATCTCTAAATTGCGTATCGTAACCGAAATGAACAATTTAACACCTATAATTTGGCATAGAGATGGGCTAGAGAGGCCCACCAAGCAAGGACCGCGTCAAAGAACAGTAGTAGTCCACCACCACCACGATCCAACATATCATTGTCAACGGCCAGTCCTTTCTGTTTCCCACACTAACGGTAGAAACTAAATAAACTAGCAAGTAGCAAGGGAAGGAACCCAACAAACAAAAGAAATATTCGAAGGAAGTTCCCATCTATAGCTTGGGAAACAAGTCAGAGTTCCATCTATTTACGATCATGACACTGACATAGCTCGTCCCCCGAGGCCGCCTGTCCAGCTCAGCCGCGCCAGCGCCAGCCAAGTGCGCTCGCTGGACATTCTTCGGACACGTCCAAGCCTAACCCACTCTAGCTTCGGGCCCTGCCACCGTCAACGCACCGGTCCCACCTCCCCTGGTTCGTAGCTCTACATCGTAGCAATATTCCAGCTCCGAGCTCCGAGCCACGTTCCCGAGCCGAGCGTTTCCCGCCGGTTCCGACAAATGGAGGGTTTCTTAGTCAAGTGGAGAAAGGGGGAGCAAGTCTTTTTTGTTTTTTTAATTCGCGTGTATATATAGAACAGCTTCGATGACACTCTACTCCACTCCGCTCGTTCTCTGCCAAGTCTCAAGTCAAGCTTCTTCTTGCTCTGTTTTTCTCTGTGTCTGTTTTGGGGGAAAAGGGAAAATGGCGAGGTGAGCTAAGCGCTGAGCTTCGAATTAACAACTTGTGGGATGATGGAAATTTGATGTTTTGGTGATTTAGAAATGAACTCTGGGGTGGAAAAGACTCTTCTTTTCAATTCGATCATGAGGAAATCAGATGGAGGTCGTCATTGAATGTATTTCCTGAGAAATGATCGGTTCTCCTTCTGGGGTTCTAGGTTCTAATTTCATCCTGGACAGTTTCTGGGGTTTGGGTTCTGCAAAGTTTTCTTTTTCTGGGTAGTTTCGGTGTAGGTTTCTGGGTGTGATTGAGCAACTGGGTTTTGTTCGTTCGAAAGGAATTTGGCAGCAAAGGGATAAATGAAAGGGGAATGCTTTCTGGGCTAGGAGTTTTCTCTACTGTTTTCAATCAGGAATTGGTATCCATGGCTGTTTCTAGGGTAGAGAGAATGAATGAAGGGAGTCCAGTAGGCTAAAACCCTGGGGTTTAAGCCAAGGGGTTCATTTCTGAATTGTAGGAATATGAGAAACTGGGGGGAGCTTGGATTGTTGAAGGGGGGGGATGCTCACATTACTACTACACCCAGCCTAGTGAGAAATGGGTAGCTTGATGGTTTAGATGTTGAAGAGCTTCGAGATGAATGGGATAGTAGCAGAGTTAGTGATCCCCATACTTGGACCTAAAATGGCCCTCTGGAGCTTGAAAACAACGTCCCTTTCTAATACATTCGGCAGAAGCTTATGCCTTTTTTGTGCCTTTGTGTCAACTAGAAGCCAACTCATATTAACACAGAGCCAAAGGGGGGAAATGGGTGGTTGTTGCAGAGTTGAATGTTTTAGATTTCAGGAGCTTTCAAGTTCAATGTGATTGTAACAAAGTTGTTGATTCCCATACTTGGTCCAAAAGTGGCCCCTAAGAGCTTCAAAACAAAGTCCCTTCCGAATGTTTCCTCATAAAGCTTCAGCCTTTTTTATGCTTTTGTCTGAACTAAAACTAACTAGCTTACCCATCATTTTCTTGTTTCCTAATTTGGGTCGTTGCTGTTCTCTATCACCTCAAAGAATCAAACAGAGTTCCGGCATTGTGTTGAAAAGTTCTGCATTTGATTTTTTTTTTCTGCAGGGCTTGGGTTTTGGATGGTAGATCAATAGCAAGGAAAGTGACCCAATCACCCACCGAATCAATCAAAGACGCAGGAGCTTCTCGCCAATGTCCTAATTGCCAGCATAGGATTGACAACAGTGATGTGAGGGGATATGACCTTTGGAACCATACCATTACTTTTGAATTTTGATCATTGTTGAAACATTGACGAGAATGTAGCTTAATTGATCATTTACTTTCCATTCTGCAGGTAATCAATGAATGGCCTGGCTTTCCAGCTGGGGTAAAGTTTGCCCCAACTGATGCAGAGCTGCTGGAGCATTTATCAGAGAAATGCGGCATTGGGAGCTCGAAGCCGCACATGTTCATTGATGAGTTCATCCCAACACTTGAAGGGGATAATGGGATTTGTTACTCCCATCCTGAAAACCTTCCTGGTAAAGAGAGAAAGCTCATTTGCCCTGCTTCTCCACCTCTTTACCGTTTGGAATTTCTCAACAGATGTCTATGTGTTTGCCAATTGGCCAATATGTAGGTGCTAAGAAAGATGGAAGCTGCGTTCATTTCTTTCATCGCACCATGAATGCTTATGCAACTGGTCACAGGAAGCGCAGAAAGATCCAGAGAGGTGAAGACACTTCCATTAGCGGAAGTGTGCGCTGGCACAAGACAGGCAGGACCAAGGTCGTGGTCGAAAATGGTGCTAAAAAGGGCTGTAAGAAGATCATGGTCCTGTACAGAAGCTCAAAGGGAAGAGGTTCTAAGCCTGACAAGGCCGGTTGGACGATGCACCAGTTCCATTTGGGCACTGAAGAGGATGAAACTGCTGGTGAATATGTTGTTTCCAGGATCTTCTACCAGGAATCCAAGATGAATGGGAAGAATAATGATGAGACTTCGGAGATTCAAGGTTCTGATACTGTTGTTGCTGGTGTAATGCATCCAAGGACCCCGAATCCTAATCCTCCCAATCCACAGCGACATAACGATCTTGCTGATGACACCATCACTTCAGATTCCTCTGTCCAGGTTTGGCTACACTTGTGTTTATTTTTATGAATTTGATGTGCAAATTTGGGTATGAAAAACTGAACTTTCTGTTTTGATTTTTTTTATTTTGTGGAGTTTAGGATCAGAAGTTGATGATAGGGGAGGATGTGGGATATGAAGCATGGCTGGGTGGTGAATCCCAGCCTGTTGATGAAACCCCTGACTTCACCAACATCGGAGATTCTTCTTTGGTATGCAAAGAGACTTCCAATCCTTCTACTTCGATCTTCGGCAATAACTCAACAGCAATGAATCATGTACCATGCACTGGTGGAGGTAGTGGAAATAACAACCCTCCTTTCGCTTCATCGATCTTCGGCAATAACTCAACAGCAATAAATCATATACCATGCACTGGTGGAGGTAGTGGAAATAACAACGCTCCTTCCTGTGGAATCTCTGTCCTGGAGAACCTGGAATTGGACAGCCCACCAGATTTCCAGCTTTCTGTAAGCCTAATAACACAACCCTTTAGCAAACACATATAGCAAGTTACTGCAGAACGCATTATTATTTCTCTTCATATTTAACAATGTGATCTTACTTCTGCAGGATCTTCAATTTGGTTCCCAAGACAGCAATTGTAGCTGGCTGGACAAGTTTTGAATAAACACTCGGAATAACAATGGAGCAGAAGAAGCTCTACTAGACTAAACCATGAACATGTCATCACTCCACTTGTTTTGTTGCTGCTGCTGCTGCAGGAAGCCATACTAGTTGGCTTTAGTTTAGCAGCATTGTTGTTGTTCAATCTCAATAGGCTAAAATTGGGAAGTAATGTATGTTTTTCATGCAGTTGGTGTGCAACATAATCAAGAGGCTGCAGAGTGATTCCACTACTGCTGCAATGGTGGGAAAGACGAAAAATGGCCTCATAATTTCGTGTGTAGTAGTTGTGAACTTGTGATGGCAGAGTGGCTGTAGCCTCTTCATTATCTGTCATTGTGTAATGTACTTTAATTGACTGCATTATAAACAGAGGATGTTATGTTCCTTGTTAACTAAGTAAGCAACAGTAGCAGTAATTTCTTGCTGCTCTTTCAATGGCCGCTGGTTTTTCTTCTGTGCAAATCCAGGAATTGGTCCAAGAAAGCTGTTCATTAGCATTGTGAAGTGGGAATGCATGCAAGAGTACAGCTTATTTACTCTCTGACTGCATATTGAACTACAATAACTGTCTGATTTTGAAATGCACCATCGTTCAAGACTGCAAGTATCTATTTTGTTTACAGAAGGACTCGAGTTTATTTCAGCTACGAACTTTACATTTTATAAGACCTTTAGCACCACCATTCACCACCCACACACTCTCACTTCTCTTGCTAACTCCATCCACAGCTCTCCCAGAACAGAGAAGAACCAACCAAAGCTTCCATGCCTGCTGCTCCTGATGGAAAGTCTTCTTCTGCTGTCATTAGCAGGTAAAGTCTTCAAACTCATTTTACTAATAAATCATGGGTTTCTGTTTCTTTTCCCCAACAGTACTGTATCTGTGTTCTTTCCCCGAACTTCAATCTGATCGCCCTTGTTTTTCGATCTCTGGATATGGCTGGAATGCAGGGGTGCATATGTGATACAGGTATGCAGCGCCTGGAAGAATGGAGAGCGTTGCCAGCAGGTGCCATTGTTGACCCGCCCAATACAAGAGCTCTTAGAGCATCTGGCGGCCAAATGTTGTGAGGAGTGGAGAACTCGGACCCACCTGACCCCAATATCCAGTGCTTCATTCTAACAATTGAAGATCATGAAGCCTTTCTACTCACATCCCATGAATCTTCTTGGTAACTCCCAATTCTATGTCTTTTGATGTGGCATCAAGGTTCACACAAGGTTATGGTGTTTACTTGGAACCCTTCGATGCCAGTGTAAGAAAAGATTAGGGAACTGGAGGCGAGTGAGCTTATCGAAGTTGCTCACCACAATTTCAGCAATCAATGACGCCGAAAATGCTCAAATTGAGAAGATTCCATTAATTTAAATTCAGAAAATTATTTTAGAATACAATTGCTGCCAGTTGTCCTCTCCTGTTCTTTGCAATTTGACATCTTCAACTCCTAATCAATATCAATCATGGATTGTATTCTTCTCTTTGATCACCCATATGAGTTTGTATCCCCGCAACATTATCATGACGCCCTTTCCTCGAGCAAAACCAATCACACAAAAATAATCTATTTCAACCTCGAAATCAGATTTCTGTGCTCAAGTTTCTGTGTCTACTGAATTCTGATATACAACTGATCATCCACGTAGCTTTCATTCTCCTCTGTTCTGGGATACCCTTCGACGTGGCCGGAAAGATAATAGTGTGTACTGTTGGTGTGGGGATGTAAGATTCTAGTTTAAGTAAGCTATTATATGTCAGAATATGGATGATGTGCAGAATCAAAATACTGCAAAATGACCTTAGGCCATCAGGACAAGCAAAAGCCGACCATATCACCAAAATATGCAAACCACCAAGATTAACATATATTGCCAAATATCCAAACCGATTTGTCAAACTTTGGTAACACAAACAACTTGTCCAAAACCGCCTTAAGATGGCATCAACATTGTTCATAAACTACCAAACAGGGTGCCGCAGAACTGAAATTCAAAATGCAGAGCTACTCATTCCTCCTCGACAATCGTGCCTTTCTCGCTAACATAGATACCATCAAGAAACTTCCTGATATCCTTGTTCTTCACATGGCATTTCTGAATCAGGAAAAAAACATGAAAGAAAGAAAAACAGATCAGATCTCAAACAACAAGTGCACGACATAACTTGAAGAAGGAGATTCGCAAGCAAATGATGTGAGGGGCAACAAATTGCAAGTAATGTTACCTGGTTAATCAGAGCAGCAGACCGTGAAACGAGCTCGACATCATTGCCATCCAAGACCAACTCATCCTTAGTCTTCTCAGACCTGATAACAGTAACACCATCAAGCATATCCACCTTCCTCACCTGCAAGAGAAAAATGGTATCAGATCAGATCATACTCTGGTAGAGAGTCTGCAAGCACTGAAGCATTGCCCCGTACCAAAACTGGGAGGATGCTCATCTTAATTATGAGAACAAATGCAATGTAACACAAGACATGGATCAATAAAACAGTTCGTAGGCTTTTTCTAATGACCCACTAGAAGCACAACTAGGCGCCTGGCATGAACTAGGGTTGACAGACTACATCTGATCTAACAACTTCATCAAAACTCTAGAATGATCCTAAATTATGAAAACAAATGCAATCAAAAACCAAACTGTTCAAGGGCTTATAAGGAGTGACTAGAAGCATAACTCGGCGTGTCACGGTAAACTAGGCGTGACTGACTACATCTATATTAATAACATAGCAAAAACTCCAGGATGCTCACCTATATGACAAATGTTGAAAACAAATGCAAAACCAAAACCAAATCATGGATCAATCCAACAGCTCAAGGGCTTTCCAATGAGCAACTATGAGCAAAACTCAAATATGACAATAAATTAGGCTTCACTTCACATTCATAACAAACAGAAGACACATACTAATAGGCCAACCACACTAATTCATCATTCCCACGGGTCTGCGAACCATATAAACGGAGAAACAAACAAAAAAACAAGAAAAATTACAGGGGCATACCCTCTTCTCGCCGAGGAAGTTGCGGATCTCGATGGCTTTGTTGGTGTTGGTGATGGAAGCGTTGATGGGGAAATGGGCATACACGAACCGCATCTTGTAGCGGTATCCCTTGGTGACGCCGGTGATAAGATTCTCGACGTGACTGAGAGCGGTGCGGATAGAGGCGCTGGTCTTCCTGGTTCCGAACCAAGAATCAACCTTCAGCTTTCGATTCCCGGTCTCTTCGTCCTTGATCAACTGGAAATCCAGATTCAAATGCTTGAAGTCGCGGACGAGCGTGCCCCTCGGTCCTTGGACCTCAATCACCTTGGCATGGACCTTGATCTTCACGCCTTCTGGGATATCCATCGTTTCCGAAGAGAGGATGGCCTTCATCTTGACAGCAGCGGCGGAACTCAGAACCCTAAATCGACAAGAACGCTTTGAGCTTTGAGACTTGAGAGCGTAGTGCGCTGCTGAAAAAATAGGAACGCTCCACTAAACCCTAGCTCCCTATTTATATATACGAATACGAGGGAATAAACCTAATATTCCAGCCGATTTTTATATGGGCCAAGTTTGAAGGTCGGCCCATTACTAAAGCCTGTAAATGATGAGTTAGTCAAAACTCAAAAGTTAGAATAAGCCCAGACCTGTAAATTACAACCATGCCACAAACAAAACAACGATTTAAGAAAAGAAAAAGAGTAAAGACGAACTTCCCGTTTCCTGCACAGCAGAGCAAAGAGCAAACCCAGAAACCTAAAACCCTGTGGCTGGGAACCAGAAGGAGCTTAAACCCCGATAGCCGAAGATGAAGTGATCCAAATCGGGCTGTTTATAAAGTTCCGTTCTCTATCATCATTTTCATGGTCAAGGCCGGAAAATGTTGGCTTCAAGGATTCTTCGAAGCCATTGTTTCAGAACCCTCTCCGCTCTCCACCTCTCCTCCAATAATCCCTCCAGGTTTGCTCGAAAGTTTGTTTCTTTTATCCATTTCGTCATGGGTTGTCGGACTGATCCTAGGATTTGATGAATTGGGTTTCCTTGGATTATACAGAACCATAGTACTGGCGTTGAATGATGTTGGTTCTTCGAGTATTAGTTCTTCTACAGATAGTCTCCGGCCTCCGCGTTGAATTGCTCTGCTTTCGGCAGCGGATGGTGCCGCGGGATGTCTACTTCCAAAGGAAGGAGCATGAGAAGCAAAGTGGAGAGTAGGATGAGGAAGGAGTCCGGTAAAACGATGAGGGAGATAAGGAGAGCTAAGAAATTGAAGAGAAGCTTATGACTGATGAAGAGAGGCTTATTTACAATCTCAAAAGAGTGAGTATGTTCCCCCTTCTTGGGTTTGTTCCAGTTCTTGTTCCGCATTTCCTGATGTGAATGAATGGTTCCGGTTTTTCGCGGTTACATGCAATGGTGAGATCCAAGCTTTTGAATGGCTTAGAATGAGCACGGATTTAGAAGGTTAGGGGATTCAGGAATTCAAGTTTTGTGTTTCGAGTTGGAATGGTGTCCGAATATATATAGTGCTAGGAGAAGGCTGAGATTATCCTTGCAGCACTTCCTGTAGGATTGCTTTATTGATGATTAGGCCCAGCTTGTTGTCGTTGTGCTTGATATTTCTTTTGTGGTGTAACTGATAACAGGCTAAGAAGAAAGTGGCATTGCTCCTCCAAAAGCTGAAGAAATACGAGCTACCCGAGTTGCCCCCATCGGTGCATGATCCCGAGCTATTCACGCCGGAGCAGCTTCAGTCGTACAAGAAGATAGGCTTCAAGAACAAGAACTATGTCCCTGTCGGTGTTCGTGGAGTGTTTGGAGGAGTGGTGCAGAATATGCACATGCACTGGAAGTTTCATGAGACTGTGCAGGTGTGTTGTGACAACTTTCCAAGGAAAAGATCAAAGAGATGGCCACCATGATAGCAAGCTTAGCGGCGGTATTGTGGTGAATATACATAATGTGAAGACGATTATCATGTTCCGTGGCAGGAACTATCGACAACCCAAGAACTTGGATTCCCTTTAATACTTTGACAAAGAGGAAGGTATGTGCTGACTTTTTGTGTTTCCGTGTTAATGGCTATATAGCGGTTCTCTATTGTAGGCAAACCGTAGAAATGTAGTCCTCACCTGTAGACGAGTTGCTCTGTGAATGAGCTTTAGAAGTTGAGATATTCTTAAAGTTGTAGTGAGCAGAACATTTGTCTTGATTTATGCTATGCTGTACGTGAAGGTACTGAAAAAGGATAGCATTTCTTATTCAATCCATTTTATGAAGTTACTTTTGCATTGAATTGCTGCGTGCTGTAGTGGAATAGTGCTATTGCTGCTCATTCTAATCTTCATTTTTCTGCTTCAGGCATTATTCAAGGCAAGATTTGAGCAAGCACTAGAATCACAGAAGCTAAACATCAAGAAGATAGAGCAACAGCTTCGACGGATGGGTGTAAATCCTGAGGATCCAGTGGCCATGGCTAGCATCCAGAGAGTAGCTTCCACGTTTTTCAATGCAATTGACAGCAAAGAAGGAAGTCCATATGTATTCAAAGGCGACGAACTCTCATCACCACAGCCTGCTGATGATGATGCGGAGCATTCAGATCAAGGAGCCGATAGTGATCAGGAGGAGCTGAACCGCTTTATATCTGAGATAGAGGATGCTGCTGATAGAGAATGGGCTGCTGAAGAAGCAGCTGAGCAAGAAGAGTTTGGCAGGATTAGGTATAGGAACAAAGATGAAAATGGCGGGAGGCTAAGATTTGAGAATAAAGAAGCTTATGAGGAGGCTGTCAGACAAGGGAAGGTTTGGCGTGACCCACGTGATGATCGCAAGAGTGCTGGGAGAGGTGATGATGGTGACGAGAGGGATGGAATCTCAGATGAAGAGGATGAGTGGGATTCTGACGATGATCCCCGAGATAATGATCATGTTATAGGTAGATCACAGAAAATGAACCAAGATAGGGGTAGAAGTATGAGGTATAGTAACAACGACCGTGTTGATAGAAGACCTTCTACAACTAAATTCAACAGGAAGGAAGTTGAAGAAAAAGAAGAGGATGAGTGGGACCCTGATGATGATTCTCGTGATACTAATGGTCGTGTTATAGCTAGATCACAGACAAGAAACCAACATAGGGATACAAGTACGAGGTATAATAACATCGATCATTTTGATAGAAGACCTGCTGCGAATAAGCTCAATAGGAAGGAAGTCGAAGAAAAAGAAGAAGATTCTGAATCTGACGACATGCTGAGTGATCTCGACAATGCGATGTGGAATTCAGACGAAGAAGAAGATGAAATTGGGGCATCGAAGAAGAAAGTGCCTCCAGGCCGCAGTTTTAGAAGCAGCAGTAGTGGAGAAGAGGATGATGAAGAGGATTCTCGTGGCAAGTTGAGAACAGCTCGAGGTGCAAGAGTGAGTCAAGGAAGATTCAGCACAAGGACAAGTGAGTCCCGAGCAAGTTGCAGAAGGGAACCAGCTGCTGATGGAGATTCTGGTTCAGAAGATGTGGGCTTCCCAATGTGGCAATCGGACTCGGACGATGAACTCAATCCAAATGAAGGCAGCAAACTCGGCTTCAATCACACGGATGAAACTAAGGAGCATGGGAAGCAAGGGGGGAAGAAGGTGAAGACGGTGAAAGAAATGGACGAACTTTGGGACAGTGACTGAGTCATCTGCAGCAATTCCAAGCTATTGATTTAGTAGCCAGAAGCAACCAAACCCCTCCTCGCCATTCTGTGGCAGAACATATTGTGATTCATTGTTATTGTTAAAAAGCTGTAATCTTGTTCGTTGATTCAAATCGAAGTCGTATCATGTCAGATTAGCAGCAGCAGCAGCAGAAAGCTGACTTCTGCAACAGTTTTGTATACCCCCAGGCCCCATGATTGAAAATAGACGCATATTATGTTGACGGATCACTTATTATTGCTCGTTCCATGGGTATGATACCACTTCCGTATGAGTTCAATGTGTCAACCTTCTCGACTATGGCCTCATATGATCTGAAACGACCAAATGACACTCTTCTGTGGGAATATTCATGCTCTAGTCAGTCAGCCATTCACCACTCACCATCTAGCAAGAGAAGTTAAGGTCTTAATGATTCACGCGTCCAAAAAGTAATAGGAGAAGAGACTAGTTAAAAAAACAAAAAACATATCAAGAACAAAGTCTTGTATGTGTGGTAGACTTTTTCCAAGTCAATCTTCCATCCCCATCCCACTTATTATCTTGGCATTAACTGAGAAAACATACGCGGCATTTCATGACCATGACATTGTCTTAATTTTTTTGATTATCAATATTAGAGTGATTAACTAGATAATTAAATAAACAGTAAGATTAATGTTACTACTAGCATGTAGTTTAGCTCTTGATGATTTCATTATTCACCTGTCATTGTCACTTAAGACGGCCGGGGACGGCAAACTAAACTGCACAAGTCCACCTACAAAACAAATAATCAGGAATATTATCCTCCACAACCTTGACAAAATTAGATCTTGTTGTTATGATTGCTACATTTATTTTAAGTTGAGAGAGACGATCATCATAAATATACATGAATGAATGAGCGAGCGAGTTTGATACTAGAGAAATCTTATAATATAGTATAGTATACTCGTGACACTCGAATAAACCGTGTGATATGTTTGTTTTACGTTAGTGTAATAATAGTAAGAAGAGAAGAGTTAATTAAGGATGAAGGATTGAAGTTTCTTCTTTTGTGATTGGGAGTGCCATATGTGGAGTGATAGTAAGTTCATAACAAGTAGGAACCTAATATTAGATAAATAAGGACCGATAAGATAGAATTTTATAATAGTGTTTTTTCCACGTTCTCACTATATAATCTTCTTCTTATCATTTAGTTGGTAAATGAGAGAATGTTTAACTCTACATGCCCATTGACTAAAATATCAACAAATTTTGAGGATCGGCCACATTGAGAAAGGAAGCGAGGAAACAGGCAACTTGGCAATGACTACATCAAAGTTTGAACATGATTGTGATTGTGAAGAGACCGTAAGTGCTAGGTTGAGAGAAGACTCATGACTCGTTTTTTATTCGTTTGTGAGTTGTATGATATTTGTTTAAGAAAGTAGTAGAATTAGGTTCTGGAGGATTCGTATGAAAATGGTTGTCCTATTTGATTTCACTTGTAACAACAATTAGAGTCCTGGTGATTCAGAATAGTACGAAAGAACAAAAACTCATATTATGCCTTGTTATGCTCGTGAATAGATAATCTTCATTTAATACGAGTTGGATCAAATCAAATAAAATGGATGATAGATAAAATGGTAGAGGCTAGACAAAAAAAAACTTACTCTCGTTCCTCACTCCGCTTATAAACCAGACAATACTTGTTTAGAATTAGTCAATACCAAATCATACATGCTATGCGTTTGTGGTGACCATCCGCTAATTCAAGCTCAGTAATGCTCATTAGGGGGTGGAACATCTTTAACACATGTACTACGAAAGTTAACTCTATAGTTGATGTCATTACCTGATCGGGACCAACCTTTTATGCTTTTTGACATTCATATCATTAAAAATCCTCATATGAAACTCACATATTTAATCGTACTAAGATTTGGATAGCACAAACCCGACAAGAAAATGTCTTGTACGGTCCGGCAATTTACATCCACTTTTCAAAATGTGAATTACAATTCTTCCACCATACCAACAGATTTTATTATTTGATGACACCACAGCACCATTATTAATTCTTCCATCCAAACACAAAAGGTCCCCATCAATCCATCATCTCTTCTCCTTTTCCACCACTCAATTTGGGGAAAAGTTAATCTGCTAACTTGAAAATTCGTTAGCAGATACTAACTGATATCCAAAATACATGAATTAGTATCCAAGTACTAAAGTATCTAGAAAGCACAAACTAGTATTCAAAGTTGGCTAACTGATATCCACTATGAATCAACTATTATCCCAAATTCACAAACTAATATCTAAACAACACAGAATAGTATCCATACGGCACATAAATAGTATCCATACAGCACATAAGAGTATCCAGATAACAGATAAGAGTATCCATATTGAATACTAATTGGTTGGTTGTAGATATTAGTTGGTATCTGCTATCTGGATACTAGTTTGTGATGTTTTGAATACTAGTCTGTGCTATGTAGATACTCAACAGACTTGGATATTAGTTCATACATTTTGGATATTAGTTAATATATACTAACGAATTTTCTAGTTAGCAGAATAACTAGGCTCATCAATTTGCCCTAAAAGGCTAAAACAGCATAAACCAATTCACCAACCAACCCAACCGTCCACCTAACCGCCCAACCAAACAAAACTCACCATTTGCCACTCTCTACAGAATCAGCACACAAACAAACCGCCATTTCTTCCCAATGGTTTCTTTGCCCCCTCCACAGCTCCAGAGATTTCTCTCATTCCAATATCGCAACGACACTTCACCAAACCCCCTGTAAAGGGTGAGATGCTTTTGTCATTCTCTCATCTGTCACCATTTTAAGGCAAGAGACCAAGAGAAGTGAAATTCCACCCAAGTTTTCCTAGTAGATGAAGAAAGAAGGAAACTTCTAGGTTCCCCTGTTCAGCACTCTTTCTTCAGGACGCGTCTAGTAGTAGCTAAAACAAGCAACACCCTTAAACAGACAGGCTATAATGTTCCACTTTAAAAAGGGGAAAGAGAAGGGTCCTGAAATTTCCCAACTGCATAAGCAGTTAGGACAGCCCCTTTGGCAATAGACACAAGCAACAAGGAATCCTCTGGCTTTCCGGATTCTGACACCTAACTGCCTAATTTTCCTTTGTGATCCAGGCTTAAGAAAGAGAGCAAAAGTTGCAGGCTTGGCACTCTCAGAGTAAGCCAGAGGGACTTTTTTAACCCTAAGAATGTCTCTTGGGGAGTTTCACTGCATGTGGACTTGACTGAGTCCAGAATACAGATTAATAGACTTGCAGAATATGCTTTCAGCCACTGATCTGCCTAAAAATATAAAAAAGTTAAAACCAGCCTAAGCTTTGCCACATGCATCTCAAACTAAGAAGATTCAGGAAACATGACAAGCAGAAAACTATACAAAGACAGTCAAAGAACATTTCATCCAGAAATGCCATTCCCACACTTGTTGAAATTCTAGTGATAGAAATTACAGGGGAAAAAAAGACGAGAATCATCATAGCTAACAAAAGGATAAGAAAAGCTCCGAGTAGTTCAATGACGAAATGAATCATAGTTAATATATATATATTATATAAGGCGAAGGGAAGAGGCCAACATGTATATCACTTTCTATAAAATTAGAGTGAATAAACAACATGAATCTAGCTATGATTGTTTTTGTTAAAGAAAGTCGAACCCCAAGTCGAAATAACCTGGAAGAAGTCAACTCTAATCTAGAATAATCTGTCTCTGCGGAAGGCATGCATGGGGAAACTCCTAAAGATATGTCCCCACTCGAACAAGCTTCCACCCATTGAACGATATATACCACTTCATGGTCGAAGCAGCAGGCCTCCAAAGTCCAAGCACTCAAAATTTCACCCCCTCTCATCATCAATCTCGATTGCACACCTCTCTCTAAAAGAATGGTGTTCAATGTCTCAGTCCTTGTAAGGTATACTTGTAGCAGTTCCACGCCATGGCTCGTCTATTTTCTGAAATTGCCTTCTCGCCTGTGTAAAACACAACCTCGGCATTCCGTATGAAGGTTACAAAAGAAGCCCTACCCCCCTTCAAACTTCAGCCACTTTCTCTCTTGCAGTTCCCGGGCAAAAGATACTTGTACTTCTCAGCATTGTTCAATAGGAATGCAGGAAGGTGAACTGCTGAGAAAGTCCTTGGTATAGGACCCATCTTCCCAATGATCTCCTTGAATGTGTACTCCTCAGGTAGCATATCAAACAAATCCGCACCCTTACAGATCACATCCTGAACTCTCTTTGGATCCAAGTAATGTGAGAATCTCACCCTGTCGTAATGGCTGTAAGCTTTCATCTTAAACACGAAGTCACTAATGTACCGAAAGCAAAAGCTGCAATGCCACCCTGAATCAGCGAGAAGAACATCCGACTGTCTGTAATGAGCATATCGAGTCTTCCCAGTTCGATACCTATGAATGGAAGCCCTCCAGCTCTTGTTATCCACATGATACTCGTAAGAATACAAGTAATTCTTCAGCTGAAGATGAAGAATAGGAGGAATATCATCACACCATCGAAGGAGATTAATCGTGTGAGCACTTGGGATCTCATCCAGATCGGACATTATCAGTAAATCATCATCTTCAATCCCAGCAATTCTGATCAACTGGTCTAGTGCAACTCTCTGATAAGCTTCTTCAACAAATGGGTTCTCCCCCTTCTTAAACCTTCCTCCAATCGTCCCGTAAGTCAGCCGAGGGTCAATGAACTTGAACTTGTCCCTATTGCCTGCGAAGATGAGAGGCTTAGGCAGTCCAGTAAATGTAGAGTTCGACTCTAGAAGCACAAACTGTGTTATATAAGGGTACAGCTCGTTCCACCGAATGGTGAGCATGTCGACTTCGTTGCTGAATAAAACAGCATCATAGACTCGTCTGGGGGACTCACGGACCCCCCAGCCGTGGAGCTTGCAGAGAGTTTCCATTGTCACGTTCTCATTGTAGTAATGCGGGATGACATTGAAGGGCTTTGGAGGTCTCTCCCATAGTGGTCTCAGGAAGTAGGTGATCTTCTGCCCGTGGACATAGACTCCCAAGACTATCAGAGGAATGGCTATGAATATCAGAAGGCAGGTCTTGAAGTCAAAGCCTCGCAGGATGCATTTCAGTCGAGACATGCTTAGAGGCCCTCTGGCAGACTGTTGAAGATCAAAACCAAGAAAAAAGAGTCAGTTAGATACCTGAATGAACAAAAGGGTTCTA